ACTGCGGGGCCGTGGTTTATAACTTTAGACAGGTGAGAGGCGCTGCAGCAAGAAACCTTGTGATACAGTAAAGTGGTTTGACCTTCAGACAGAGTCCCTCCTCTTAGGGGCAGAGCCATAAAGATAAATCACAGTTTAGTGAAAGTGATAATTATATTGTGTGTACCTGCTTGCCACCTGTGATGCTTGCCTCTGCACTTTCCCCTGTAAAACTAGAGAAACGCTGCATGTTATTTCAGTGGTATCGGGGTACACTCATTAACTCTTCTAATGTTCTTATCTTTCCAGTGTATGACCCCCCCTCACAGCCCCAGCTTTGTTGAGACTTCAACATCCAGCACTGCGCTCCAGTCCAGCTCTGGCCTGGCTGTGTCCTCACAACACTGTGGGTCCGGGCTTCATCACCTTGTCCTGGCACCCATTGCTGCAAAGACCCCCTCTCTCCCCCCTCCGCCACAGCCCTGCAGAGCAATGGCGACCAGCGTTATCCGCCACACGGCAGACAGCACCCCCTGCCAACACCGCATTCCAGTGGCTCCCCATGCAGAGAAAACTAGAGATACAGTAATGGCTGCAGCGGCCTATCGGCAGCAACGCATTACAAAGACTGAGCAGATAAGCACGCCTCTGTCTGCTGCTGCTCCTCTCGCTCCCACATTATTTGCCTCAGAGCAAGCCAGACCCTCAAGACCCTGTTTGGACAGCGTCGCCACCCCCACTCCTGTCAAAACCCAACTGCAAAACAGCTCACACGCTCCCCATGCCCTACCCCCGCCTTCACTCACCAGCCCTCAGATCATCTGCCAGATGTTCCCTGTCAGCAGCCAATCAGGTATCATCTCAGCCTTCATCCCCAGTGCAGTTCAGACATCCAGCACTGGGATTCGGACCGCCACCACCTCCATCCTCCCCCATCCCGCCTCAGCTAACGCCGCTACTGTCCAGCAGTCCCTCATCATGGGCTCAGCGGTGCCCCAGGGCACGGTGATGCTGGTTCTCCCTCAGTCCTCCGTCTCTCAGGCCCCTCATTGCCCTCAGACTGTGATGACTCTGGGCAACACCAAGCTGCTACCTCTAGCCCCAGCCCCTGTGTATGTGCCAGCGGGGCCCAGTGGCGGCACAACAGCCACAAAAATGGACTTTTCCCGCAGGAGAAACTATGTCTGTACCTTCCCAGGCTGCAGGAAGACGTATTTCAAGAGCTCACACCTCAAGGCTCACCTAAGAACACACACAGGTGAGTGTTTACTGCATATGGAAGTGTTTAGTTTGGGTGATAATCGTGAGAATGTGGAGTAAAACGTGACCACAGATGAGTGGTGCATCCTGTTTGTAAAACATGCTCAGCCTTGTTATTCTTGATGGGAAGAGAGTGAGCTCATTGTTATATCTCAGACACGGCATTGTGTCGTGTGAGGTTTTTATGACTACAATGTGACTCACTTGCTGACTCCTCGCTCTTCCTGTTTGTCTCCCTTAGGTGAGAAGCCGTTCAGCTGCAGCTGGGATGGCTGCGATAAGAGGTTTGCCCGCTCTGACGAGCTCTCCCGCCACCGGCGAACACACACCGGTGAGAAAAAATTTGTGTGTCCTGTGTGCGACCGGAGGTTCATGCGCAGCGATCACCTCACTAAACACGCCCGCCGCCACATGACCACAAAGAAAATTCCCTCCTGGCAAGCTGATGTTCGGAGCCTGAACAAAATGGCTGCTGGCAAAACACCTCCCTCCAAACCTGGACTTGCCACACTAAGCATGCTGGTGCCTGCCGGCCCAAAGTAGACAATGAACACTGCTGCCATCTTACCCACTCCCAAGATACCACAGGGACACAGGGAGCAGCCGAGCACATAAGGCTGCTGCTCTTTTTCTCATGGGAATGAAAGAAAAAACATGCACTGGACTAGTTTTTCCTCTCTACTGCTCATTTGTACATGTATTTTTCTCTAAAAGTTTCTTTTGTTTACTTTGATATCATTGATAATATGGATGCACTCTTGCCAAAGCCTTTGTATGAAGTTTGTCTTATACATTTCACCTTCTCCACCCTCTCCTGCAACACATTTGATCAACAAACTTTTGATATATATATGTCTATGTGAATGTATTGTTTGTTGTACTATGAAATGCATTTATTTGTCATATTTGGGAAAAATGTTAACATGAAAAAATATGTAAATATGAATATTAATTGTCAGTACTATAATTATACATTGATTATATCGCCCTGTCTAACTTTTCATATTATTTAATACATATTTGTAATAAATATACGATTCAATTTGAGTCATTATTTGTCCATTTTGTGACCTTCCCAGTATCTAATTCAGGGAAAAAACAACGTGTGGGATCTCTGTATAGTCAGCAATCCTTCCCGGTTGTCTCACGCAGAAATGCAGTGAGTGGTGGCTTCCCACATCCTGTGTGCGTCACACTGTGACTCCACTACCATCACCCACCGCCCTCTTTTGGTCAACTGGCTGAATGAAAACATTTTTGGGCGTTATAAAAGCTCTTTTGGTGAGACCATGTAGGGACAAAGTGTCCTGTTCATTATCTGCAAACCAGTGTGCTTGATGAGTTGGAGCAGACAAAACAGACATATTTGTTTGCCTTGTGTGATGAGTTTATTAACTGATCATTCGAGCCCGTTCACCTCAGTCACATGGGAACAAGGAGGCAACGAGGGCTGTGTGATTCTTACATAAAACACTGCGTTTGATTAATTTAAAAAATCTCTAATCAATCTGGCATAATACAGCAAACACCTCCTGTTTTTGTGGTTAGTGGTTACAAATGAAAGGAGAAAGTTGTGCTTGTTCATAAAATCTAGACCATCAATGGCCATATAACTGAACATGGAAATGTGAGAAAGAAGGCATTTACAGCTGTAGAAGTTATGAGGATGCCAGTGGAAATTTTACTAAGTAAATAATAAAAAGAAACCATTAAGATGCTGCTAGACAAAGAGTAGTTCTCTGTGCTGCCTTTATCCCCCCTCTCCCTTCACCCACACATTCATAAGTAGTGGTCTCACACCTAGTAACAGCAAACCTCTTCCAATCAGACAGTGAGAAATATGAACCGTCGGGGGTGCGACCAATCACGTCCCTCCCCTGCGCACCCGCCCCTTTGCCTTACTGACCGACATACACACCTGAGCGGTGGCATACAGCGCCTTCTGGCGGTGGACTTCACTGCTTACACTAGTACTGGAGAACCTCATTTTTAAGAGAAGATATTTTGATATGTTTAGTGAAGTATAATATTTAATAATATAGGTCCGAGGCTCAGTGAATGGAAATGAAAAATTATTACATTAGTTATCAAAAGGAGACCACATAGAATAGCCTAAATTATGTGATTTGATTAAGGAGACCATTTAGTAGTTTTGGGGAATTTTAAATTTTTTCCACTTTACCAGAGTCAGAAACTAATGCATGCTTTAGGACCAGTGTTGGGGAGTAACTGGTTACATGTAATTTAGTTACATCATTTAATTAAAAAATAAATGTAACTGTAATCTGTTACAATAAGGTGTAATTAAATTACAGTTACTTATGGAAATTTTAATGATTACATTAGGTATTACATCTGAATATTTTCTGTAAAATGCTAGCCTATATGTTGACTAATATTAATTTTGTTGCTTTTCATGTTTTTCATTGGCACAATGTCTTCCTTTGCCATTTCCAGCCACAGCCATTTAGTAAAGTTGCAATTCTGATGCTTCTGATTGATTCTCATGTTTGAATTTGCCATCCTTCTGGTATAAGTTATCAAAAAGTAATTAAATGTAATAAGTTACATTACTTTGAAGAAGTAGCACAATTGAAACAATTAAACTACTTAACAAGGGTAGCTTGTATCTGGTAACCTATAACTTTTCCAAAGTAACCTTCCCAACACTGCTAAGGACAGACCTCTTGTATAAGGTCTTGAATTATGTATTTGGTGTAGTCTGAATTTATGTCAAACAGTAGCATTAGGCTGTCTTTGCTCAATTGTTGAGTGTCTATGGTATTAAATCAATGGATAAGACACATGACTTTGGTGTGAGAGAGCGGTGGCCCCTGGGTTCAATTCCCCACTGTGACACATCCACCAATGTGTGCCTGAGCAAGACACTTAACCCCTAGTTGCTCCAGAGGCGTGTGACCTCTGATATATAGCAACTGAAAGTCGCTTTGGATAAATCACATAATCATGATCCCATAGGCATCCAGGAATTGATCAAGGTGGGTGCTAAGCTTTGCCTGAGGGGAGGCCCACAGTCTCAGACTTTGGAAACCTGACCTGAAGCTAGTTTTAAAGGTTGTTCCTCTGTACATGACTTTTAAATTACACTAATAAACAAGCAACCCAAAAATAATTTAGTGTGGTTTCAAAAAATAACATACAGTTTTGTATAATCCTTCATTCATTACTCATCCATGGTATTAATCAAGGGGTATTCATTTAAACACGGAACAGGAATAAAATAAATCGAAAATAGGGGAGGTGCTTTTCTTATTTGTACCATACTGTTTGCTTGTGATGACCTGTGGTAAATTCACTTGACTGGACGTTGGGTAAGTCTTTTCCACAGGTCACAGTATGAAAAGCAGGTGTAAATAATGAAATAAATCCTGGCTGAATGACATTAAGCTGCTTCAGTGTCACACAGTCATTTTACTGGGTTATTTGAATATAACAGAGCATAGTGTTTGTGACGCAGGCGTTTTTCCTACTATGTCAAAATGGCCTGTTTGGGAACTGCCTTAAAAAGTATTTACTCAATTAAATCTATAACAAAGTTAAGCCATAGTAGTTGTGTTAAACCCTCCAGATATTTTTTTTGTAAATTATATTATTTTAATATTTATTCAGTAAACTCTTTTCACTTATTGACATGACAGATTAACGGAAAAAAAGTTTCTGAGGGAAGTTTTTCCTTGTTGCACCAATGGCCCTCATGTTGCTATGGTTACATTAACACAACTAGGACGGTTTGCTGCCATTTGAAGGTCCAAACGAGCCAAAACACATGTTAATTTGCATAAAACCGCTCCAAATTTAGCTTACTTCGCTTCTGACCTTTTGTTTGGACGTTTCGCTCCCAAACGTTGTGCAACTTAGCAGGTAGCGTTACTTCACCGGCCTCTATATTTCCCCTCGTAAACACCAGCATGGAGGTTGGAGATAAGCTGAAAGAACTGAACATGTCAGTGGAGGAAATGGAAAGGTTGACAAAAGCTTTCAAAGACGAGAAGTTCAGGAAATTGTTGCGCGACTACGCCCAAGAATTAGCAGACCCCGAGAACAAGAAAAGGTATGAAGAAGAGATCAAACTTTTGGAGCAGGAGAGGGGGAACACGATTGAATTTGTCCACCCTGAACCATTTAAGGCTCTCAAGACGAGTGTGAACGGCAAACAGAAGTGTTTTATCAATATCTGCGCCAATGAAAAGGTCGGCAAGCCCGAAAGTAAATGGGGGGTCTCGGAGGACGGCCGCAGGGGACAGTGCTGGTCTCTGCCTCACAGTCTTCACCCCGGGAGGCAAGACACAGATGCAAAGGGGAACAAGACCGTGGTCTATGATGTTATCTTCCACCCTGACACTCTTTACATTGCAAGCAAAAACACGAGATTCATGGATATGGTGGACAGCACAGCCATTCAGGGTATACAGAAAGCTTTTAAAGTGACTCTGGATAACAATGTGAGCCAGATGAGAACAAAATATAAAGGCATCCCGCAGCCTTGTGTCATCCGAAAACCCATACCTGGGTATAAAACCAAGGAGCTCTCAGAGGAGCCTGACCCTCTCGCATTTCCATACCCAGATGACAGAGGACCTACTGCATCCTTGCAAACCAAGCCTACTGAAACACCTGCAACAGAAAACAGCAGTGATGCTACACCCAGAAGCTTCCAGGTCCAGCCTCAGAAAGTTGAGCAGCCAACCCAGCCAAACTACACAGTAAAATATCGATCTTTTATTGATCTACAGGACTTCAGGTGTTCTAGAGACTCGGCCCAAAGCCCCAGGCCCAAAGAGATAGTTGTCACCATCAACATGCCACTCCTGAAGGTGGTCGCGGACGCCAGCCTTGAGGTACAAGAGGGAAGGCTGCTGCTGGAGACCAAGAAACCAGCCTACAGACTGGAACTGCCCTTAGCCTACCCTGTAGCCGAAGATAAAGGAGAGGCCAAGTTCGATAAACAGAGAGGACAGCTTACGGTTACATTGCCTGTTCTTCCTTCTAAAGAAGCTTTTGATTATGTTTTTGGGCCTCTTGAGACTGGTGTTCGTGATAGTGAGAGGCAGGAGGATAAACACAAGGTGGAAGAGGATAAATGGGAGCACAAGGTGGGGGCTGGCCAGAAAAGTGAGGAGGAGGAGCAAAGAGGTTTTGAGGAGGAAGGAGATACTGAAGAGGAGGATGTGAAGCAGCAGACATGTGTGGAGAAAGATGAAGAAGAGGAAGAAAGCAGTTGGGAGAAAGGAGAGGAGCAGATGAAGGGAGGCCAGGAAGGTGTGGCGGGGGTGGAAAGGGTAGCGGGGGAGAAGGGAGGATGGGGGAAGCACGAGAGGGAAGGGGAAAATGGTGAAGAAGAAATTGGAGTGGAGGAGGCATTAAGAAAAGGCAGAGAAAGTGTGGAGGAGGAGAACTTAAAGGAGCAGAAGCAGGAGAATGAGAAAGAAGTTGGAAAATTTAACCTGCAGAAAAAGCAACAAGGTGAAGATAAACAGATGAGTAAAGATAACAAATTAAGGGACGATGGATGTGACGGAGCAGCGGAGACAAAAGATTCTGGTGCAGCAAGCTGTCAGTGTAATACTGTTGACCAGTGCATGGATGTTTCTGCAGAAGATGAAAACTTGTGTGCGGCGTCACCTTTATTAGAAATGCAGCCTGTTTTAATCACCACTGAACATTCAGGTTGCACAGGAAAAGAGGGAGAAGTAACCCTGAACACTGAAATGACTTCAGACATCGAGGAGCCTGAAAAGACAAAAGACACCCTACACGGAAACCTGAAGGTGAGATTAATTCGGATGTGGTTCGAAGTGTGTGTGATCAAACTAAGCTGCCGCTAACTTTTATGTTTCTGTTTAAGGTGGAAAAAGATGCTGCGTTTCTGCATCACAGATCCAGTGAGGAATCTCAGACTGTTGCTGCGTCTTCCACAGCAGCCAACACTCAATGCCAGGACAGTGTAAAGGACGGCTGCCTTTCCCAGAGGACTGAGGAGCTCGCACCAGATGATGCGGACAAGCCAGACAGAGGAGGTCCAGGCAACGGGGTCCGCCTCCTCTCTGAGGAGCTCGCCGAGGGGTCAGTAAAGCCGGGGGAGAGCGTAGACGAAGACGACCTGCCGACAGAGCAAATCCTCCAAAACCAAGAGCACAACAAGTGGCCGCCTGCGTTGCTGTGGGAAGTTGATAGAGATGGAAATGAAAAGGTCATCAGCGATCATTCCACATCTGCCGGGTTTGTCTTCCAAAACTCCCTGATGTACGAGCTGGACTGAGGACTGTGTGCACAGGTTCAGAGAGAGTTTGTTCTCTTGTGTTACAGCAGTTTTGGATGCAGGTTATATCAGTTATAAAGTCCGTCCAACAGTATCTTTTACATTCCTCCCCAGGCTCAGCCTTAACTCACACGATAAAAATGACAAGAAATCATTTTAATGTCCCAGAATAAACTACTTAGGACAACGTAATGCATACTTTTATTTATTTGTTGAATTTTTCACATTCATATATATAAAAATGTGGGTCATTAGCACTGTATAAACCAACTTCCTCATGGACCCCGAGGCACTGTATGCAGGAAAAAACCCTAATTCATCTAATTTCTTTATTCCCCTGCTGCAGAAGTAGGTCAGTGGGGGAACCTGCAGTTTGCTCTAAGAGAAAAGACGATGAATGACACTGTACGCTGTGAGTTTGTGAGAGTCAGTGCCACTCAGTTACACATGGAGCAGGTGCAAAGGTATTTACACTCTTCTTTTACCCCTTTTTTGATGTGTGAGAAGTGCATTATACGTTGAATGTAAGTGTAACACAGGCAGCATGAAGTTCTTTTAAAGACAAAGCTTAAGAGAGTCAGTCCTCCATTTTCATTCAAAGGCATTACCAGAAAACTGGACCACTGAGCTATTTGCTACTGCAGATTCCTCTTGTCCTACAGTATCTCACAGCTTGCAAACTATTGCAGAATCCACAGCAATTTCCAGCTGTTGGTGTGTTTGCTGTCAAAACGAAAGAGTCTGTTCTTCCTCATCTGATGCCTCTCTGGAGGGAGTTGTCTAAAAATTCAGAGTAGCAGGAGAGGGAGCAGAAGTGCTGCTGCACAGGAGCATCTGTGCCTCCCATGTCGTCCACCAGGACCACTGTGTGAGAGACTTGGTGCAGGTTCATGCTGACCGCTGTCTTGATGTAGAAACTGACGCAGACGCGGCCGCAGTCGCAGGTCTTGGCTACTTCGAGGTCCCGACACAAGTGGGCAGGGATGACGTGAGGTCCGTAAGGTATCCTGTGAGGTGAATGAGACAGTATACAGTTAGGAGTTTGCTGTAAGAACTTATGGACCACGGTGAAGATGCAACATGATATACTGAGCATGTTTAGTTCTAACCTGAGGTTGGCCACAGCTCTGGAAGCCATCTCTTGAAGTGGGAGGGGGAATGTAAGCTTCATTTTGTGGTCCAGAGGGTTAGGCTGGATAAACGGATTTCCAAACAAGTCCAGGTTCTCCAGACTCAGCTTCCGGAAGTCACTGGGCAACATGGCCAGCTGGTTATGTGCCGCTGACAGGAACCTCAGCTTCGAGAGTCGGCCTACATGGAACGGCAAACAGACAAGCTCATTGTCATCCAGTTTGAGGTTCACTAGCTCTCGGAGCTGACAGAACTGAGCGGGCAGGGACTGCAGTCGATTCTGGCTGAGGTCCAGGAGTTGGAGGGTCCGCTGCAGGGTGGACAGGCAGAGAGCCTCGCTGAATGCTTCCAGGTGGTTGTTGTGGAGGATGAGCTCAGAGAGGCAGCCGAGGTCACCAATGGTGGCAGGGAGCTTCTTGATGTGGTTGTTGCTGAGGTCGAGCTTGCGGAGAGCTGCAAAAACAAAGACAAAAAAAAATACCACCACTTAAAAGGTACTCAGAAATTTTGTGTCGCACTTCCATAAAGTTAGGGGACTTCTAAGGGAGAGACTTGCTCTTAAAACCCTGGATGCTACATTTTCCATAATCAGAATCAGTAATGCAAATAGGTCAAAATAGGATTTCCAGTGTGTATCCATAACCAACAACCCTCACTCTACCTTTAAGGGAGAGCATCCGCATGTCAACCCGTGACAGTTTGCAGTACGAGACCTGCAGCTGCTCCAGAGAGTAGGGGAAGCTGGAGGTGAGGGGGTAGTCCTTCTTGGAGACGATGGTGAGCTTCTTCTTGGGTTGCTCGACGTCTCTGGCGCGAACAGGAGTGAGAGTGGAGAGAGGGAGGCTGCTCGTGTCACTTCCTCTGTCTGCCAAACGAGCGGCCGAGAGGAAGTTCTTTAAGCTGTTGGCGTCAGCCTACAAATCAATAAAGAAATAACTAAAGTTGCAGGCGGATCAGTGGATACGTATCAGAAAATATCAGAAGATCTGTGTCTTCTCAGGTGGTTACGTGTGACCGGATTCCTTGAAATATCTAACCTAAATTCACTGGCCTGGAATATCTTGACACACTTTCTTTGAATGAACACGATGAACCTTTAGCTGTTGGGAATTTAAATGTGATTGGTGCAGGGATTAGACGCAACTTTGTGAATACCTGTACAATCCAACACCGTCACAAAAACATTCATTTAAATTTATGGTCATATTTTTTAGGCTCTAGTTTCTGGTGGTGGTATGAAGGTGTTTATAAATTGTGGAAGTTTAGTTTACACGTCTCTCACAATTTGGGAGCTCCTTGTTTTCCCTGCCTAACGTGGCATTGCTCTGTTTGTGGGTGCGTGAGCGCATTTCTGTGCCAGTGCGACAGGCTGAACTATGTTAGAATCTGGATGAAAGGTCGCTGCTGCCTCAACACAGCCAGGAGGGCTTTACAACAGCTGGAAACAATGAGGCTGCTACCGTGTCTGTCGAGGCATCAGCTGCAGTCACAACAACAGCGCAAGTCTGTCTGGTTGATAAATGAGCGAGGGGATAAATCAGCTCGACTCTTGTCCCTGAGTCTTGCGTGTGAGAAATTTTCCAGGGAAATAAGAATGAAGTTGCTTCATCATAACACTTGAACACCACCTTTATACTCAGACTGGAAAATACACCGTGTCGGATGTCATACCTTGCTCAAACAAATGTCAACAGCTGGCTCCTTTAATCTCACAGTGGCCTTGCCGTCCTCCACAAACCAAGTGAAGAACTTTTCTATGTTGCCTTTTAGCTGCAAGAGAAAGTTGGCAAATGTCAGTGATGGAAAAACTTCACAACATTAGGGCACGTCATCATCCAACCAAGAGTGACTCACTGTCTCAACATGTCTAGACAGGAATACTGAAGGCACTTTTGTCAGCATGTTTATAGAGCTATGATGATACTTTGAAAAAATAAAAAACACAAAACAGGAGCTTTTGAGGAGCTCCTGAAGGCAGCATTTGAGACCATGAAAATAAGACTTCTAGTTCTTTCTGGGAAAGACAATAATGAATAATTGAAAAAGTAGATGTTTTAGGTGACTCTGGGGATTCAATTAATCGGGAAAATCAAAAACACAGTCCATGAATCTCGTTTCTACAATGTTGTGCTAATGCCTGTTTGATACGGTCCATTTCAAGAAGAAACTGTAGAAGATGAGGGCGTTTTCCCAACAACCAAATAACACAAGTATTCATTTTCTGTCTTGTTAAATTATACTTATTGTGAGAGGTAAAAGGAATGTAGCATGTAAAAATGCGTTGTTATAATATGACCAATACATTCATAACAGCGTCTAACAGTCCAAGCTGTTAAGATGGCAATATTTCAGACTCCTATTGGGTTGACTCGATGAATCATACTGTGTATCAAACTGTTTAGCCTTTTCTTTCATTAGGATATTAATTTTTAATAAATGCATAGTTTAAGCAGCCAAACAAACACAATAGTAACTTAACAGTAAATTAACTCAAACATAAAAAATCACTACAAACACCAATTGAAAGAGAGGATGGGGATATATTAATAATCTTGAGTTATTAATGTGTAAACATCTGACCCACTTGGTCAGTAACTACATGGACAATTTCTGACCCGTTTCTGAGTTAATGGTTCTTTACTTTTCTTTTCCTTCTTAAGGTTCTGTAAATTTACAAAGACAAAAAATGAATGGATTTGTGACAAAAATATAAACAGATCATTCATATGACAAAGGTTTATAGACTTGGGAACAACAACTGCAAAACAAACTGTAATTTAATACGCTGACTAGACTGATAAACGACTGTTAAACTCCTGTCCTTTATCTGTTTGATTTGATGAGATTCCTCTACCGTTTTCAGATTTTAGCTAACTCTTTAACGTAAAAAAAATTACATTTGAATTCAATCAACTTAAAACAAACAACAACAATATTAGAGGCAACCTGCAATCTAGTTAATCTGGAAAGCAACAACAGAGGCCACACACCTCGGGATCAATTATAAATGCATCTCCAGCTTTAACACTCAGCAGCAGCACAGTAAGTTTGTTAGCTCAGTACAGAAAGAGCAGCAACAACAAAAACAACAGACCTTGTACTTAGAGCCTGCCCGGTCTTTAGCTGTGCAGATCATCATGTAAATGTTGCTGCGCTGGCTCGTCTTGTCCAAATGCTTCCCGATGGACAGCACCGCTCTCGCCCCCTTCCCTCGACTTTTCATCCCAAACGTGGGGAGCATCCGGTTCACCACCTCGACCTCACACTGCAGCTTCATCGCAACCGAATACTAAAGACCGTAGTCCGGCTTACTGCCGTGTCTGAGAGGGCTGAGGGTTTCAATGCATGCCAGGGAGAAAATTTCCGCGAAAACAAGCAACTACCGCTAGCTAGTGGCACAACAGACGGCCGTGCTTGTCACGGATGTCAACATCACAACAGCCGTCTCTCCGGAGCTGCATCTGAACGGCTGTCGGAGGCACAACACACACTCTACAGCGGCTACACTGAGCCTTTACTGGGCAGCTGCGGTCAGCGTGACAATATCCTGAAAAACTGTGAACGTCCTTGGTAGTTTTTCGGTTGTCAGTTGGCTGGTTAGCTGCCGTTAGCCCGATCCCGCGCACTTGGGAAGTGACGTCAGAGAAGCGCTTGTTAACTCGGCCCGGGAGAGCATTCGGCGCGAGCGGGACAGACCGCTGTTCGGTGTCTAATTATAGTATAAATGTGCACGATGTAATAAGTGACCCAGCTGTGTGTTGGTTTGTCTGACAGAAACTCAACTCAAGGTCCACTTACTGGCTCTTTCCGGAGCTTTCAACTGCATCCCGCGGTCCTCCTTATCCAGTGTTGCTCACTGAGGTATCGCCCCAGCTGAGCGAGAGATGGGCGGGTCGATACTTCCATCATCACAAGCAATGTTGAGAAGGTTACTTTTTAAATGTAGCCTAAAATGTTACTGATTACAAGTTACCCTGTTTAAAATGTAATTGTAGCCTAGTGTAACTAGTTCAATTTCTTAATCAAAGTAATATAACGTATTATATTTTACTTTTAAATTACTTTTCTAATTTCAAATGAATGTTTTCAAAAGACAGTTTGAGAGGCAGTTTAACATGCAGACAGGTGGCGCTGCAAATTCAGACATGAGAACCAACCAAAAGAATTAGCTGGGAATAGTAAAGGAAAACATTGTATGTGAAGCAACAAAATTTATATGAATGAACCTATGTAGCCGAGCTTTTTGCAGGAAATATTCACATGTTACCCCCAATGTATTCATAAACATTTTCATAAGTAACTAATTTCATTGCACAGTTTTTCCAGGAACTGGAGTGAGCGTGGTGTCACTACTTTTGCAGTATTTGTATTTGTGACAGGAAAGTGCCACATAATTAAAACCATGGACCGTTTAAGAGGAAGAAAAAATCTTTAAGAATGAACAAATGTGCTCATGTTTTATGTTGTTGGTACCTTAATTTATTTTATTCATATTTATAATTATTTATTTCATTGTAGTATGATTTAATGATAGTATTTCTGTAACTTACTTGTCCATTTTCTACACTTATTTGCACAAAATATTTTATGTAACTGCACTCAGATTCGCTTTTGTAATAAATTTGAAATTAATGGCCGGTATGTTTCATGTGATTTGCCTTTAAGTGTAATGATCTTTTTTCACTAAAAATTACCATTATTTAAAGAAAATCACATAGCCCAAAATGATCAGTATCCTTAAAATGTTAACAAAAAATTATCTGTATTTATCGAATTAAAAAAGTTTGGTATCGCCCATCCCTGAACTGAGTAGCCAGGAGTTGTGAGATGAGATGCAATTAAACTGGAAAAAATAGCAAGTGTGCCAGGGAATAATTTATTGTTCTTTCAAGGTTTCCAAGGATTCTCAAAAATGTAGATTCATGCTCACCTTGTAGATGGGTTAGTAAACATTTTGATAGTTAATTGAGTGAATCCATGAAGAAAAATAGGCTTATATAAAAATAACAGTGGTCAGCAGAAACAAATACTTAACCAAAAACTACACTAGAGAAAACCTTTATTTTTATTTTTTATTGCTTTTACCAAAGTAAAAGATCTAAATACATCTTCCACCATTGATGACAACTTATTTAATCTCTCCCCATCACAATGAAAACATAAATGGCATTCGTAAACAGAAATTTCTAACACTGGGTGTTCAAGTTTAAAAAGCAGTTTCATGGTTTGATATGTAAAACAGCAACATGTCTGGTTTGTCTCCGAATGTAAGTTAAGTTCATATGTATTGTATAATCTTTAACAAGAAAAACTATCTGTCCCTGGAGTATCACGACACACACCTTCACCTGATTAATCGCAGAATAAGAGCAACTTGAGAGAACTGTACAAACAATTTCAAAAACACTATATTGTTGTTCTCCTTCTGCTACCTTCTGTATTTTACCCAGAAGTTGCTCCCCAGTTCAAATAACATGCTTAATTTAAATGTTTGCTTGCATAAATGGTTTATTTATTTGTACCAACCACCCTCTGTCTTGCAGCAGCAATGCAGTGATTCCTGAATCTCGTCCCTTGTAGTTGTACTTGTGGACGGCAGAGGTACCAGTGAGCTGTGAGTGTGAGAGTGTCTGACATCGTCACCTCAGATCAACATGATCACAAGAGAAACTTAACTGATCTCTCTTCTCTCGTCTTTCTTAACTTCTATATAAATCCACACACACACAAGGAGTGTACAAATGTGCCACAGCGATACCATTCATTGCAAGTTTTAATCAACTAATTTGACAGAAAAAAAACAACAATCCAGTTTTGTTAGATTACTCCTTATATTATTTTTATGCATTTCCACTTTCAGTCTGACAGGGTTAAAAAAAATAAACTCATTCATAAACCCTACAAGTCTCCTGCCTTATATTAAATACTGCAATAACTACTTTCATTTCTTACATTCAGTGCATGTTCCCCACTCAGCTTATCCCTCGTCAATAGATGCTGTGTAGTGTTCAATAAAATCATTTTGGGGAAAAACTAAACAGAATACTCTTTGGTTTCACCTTGTATGAATCAACTAAAAGACGATACCTTTGGTAATAACATGCAGCTTTCCTGGATTATTCTTTCAGATGCCTCTAAGTGGAACACTTTCAGTTCATTCTCTGCACACACATAATAACACATACAAGGTCAAAGTAAAAACAGTCGAAGTTCGGTTTCTGAAAAATATGAACTTTGATGAAAATAGTAGGTCACTGAGGCTGTGTCGTGTCGATGCATCAGTGGCATGTACGCACCATTTAATCAGATCTCAGAAATTCTTGTCATTATTCACACTGTGACAATGCCTCAGTGAGTGTTTTCATAGAGACAATTTAAACTTTAATAATATGGAGATGTGCAATTCAGTATGATGACTCTGACCTTCTGCTTTCTGTGTCTGAAAATGAGTCTGTATTCAAGTTGCTTTTTTACTCCATAAACCTTCAATAATGTCACAGGAGCAAATAGTGACCAGTCCTACAACACCATCCATGATTACTGATCTGAATCTTGACTCATCAGTAAGGTCTCTTTATGTCCTTCACAGAGCTGTCTCCACACAGGAGGACCCTCTCCGTATATAATAACGCCTCACTTCCCTCCCGTCCTCGCCACCACAGCCCTCAGACCGATGCACGATGAGCACTGGGAAGAACCGGGCGTCCGTGTAAGTCGGTGGACTCTCACTGAGCGCCAGCTGGCTGGAGGCGGAGCGGCAGCACTGCTCGTCCACGCAGCAGGGGTCCGTCAGGTTGCTGCTGCGGCTCCTCCACAGCGCCACGGTGCGGTGGGAGCCGTACATGCGGCAGAGAGAGAAGCGGGACGTGTCCGGTGAGAGGTGGGAGTGGAACAGCGTCCCGCGGCAGGAGAAGATGGAAGAGCAGCTGGAGCTGGTGACGACCCTCCTCCCGCCTCCTCCTCCTCCATCATCTCCTGCTGCGGGGCTGCACTGCTCGCTGCCGCCCTGGCTTTGGAGAGCACCGTAGCTCTGAGCAGTCTGGCTGCTGTCCAGGAGGAAGCAGTGTGAGGACGAGGTGCATTCAGTGTCTTGTAATGAGTTAGAGTCCGCTGTGCTCATGTTGATCAGCATGGCCTCGGAGTAGCTGGGAATCAGCTGGCGGTTACAGCGTATGTGCCACTCCATCTCAGTGCTGTCCAGTGTGTTTACTCTTGGAATAACACAACCAGTGTGAGTCCCCAGAGGCCTGTCTTCGTCTAGAGGTGAGGGGCTGCTGTGGCTGTACTCTAAACCAAATAGTTTCTCTATGCGGTAGTGCACATAAGCAGTGCGGTACTCTATCAGCACTCTCAGAGGCCAGGACAACATCAGCAGAGCTGCCAGCCAGAAGGCCACCTGGGAAGTGTACCAAGGCATCCTATCTGGGTCTACATAGGCTATTAGGTTTTCTCTAAAGTCCACATTCTTCAGCTGCATCCCCTCCCTGGCCTCCATGTAATCGTCCAAACCCTCGATCTCAGAGAAGAACCTGGCTCTCTGGTTGAGGTAGTCATTTTCTGGGCCGGCCTCGGTGAAGCTGAAACATTTGGTGAAGCGCAGGCGAGTTGCAGGATGCCCCTCCAAGCCTCTGAGGTCACGTGACACGTCTTTCATCCCGCAGTGGCTGTAGTCAAACTCCCCCTCAGCCACGTGGGTGTTCACTCTCTCGTGGTACACCTGCGTGGTGGTGTAGGCATCCCCGTTGCGGTACCGAGTGACTTGCCGGGTCCGTCGGACAAAGTGGTAGCTGATGGCCTTCCACCATATGCACGGCTGGGCCTGTCGCATCCGCAGCACGCGCTCATATACACTGTCCACATCTGCTTTGCACTGCAGTTGGCTCCTGGCTCTGCAGTGCCAGCACTCCGCCATGTATAAGACGTAGAGCATGAGCAGGAAGGCCAGGGGGATGTAGATGTAGCCGTCGGAGCAGGGGCTGTCGTGGTAGATCATTGAGTGTCCTCCGGCGCCCACTCCGGAGGCCCCCCGCAAGGAAGAGGTGATGGAGGCTGTGAAGGAGGAGGTGAGAGCCGAGTTAAAGCTGATCTTGGTGACCCGGGTCAGCTGGCACCAGGCCACCGCACCCAGGCAGCAGTACATGAGCAGAGAGAGCAGCAGGCAGCGCCAATGGGACTCCCGGCACACACAAGCACCCAGGGACTGCTTCACTGGACGCTGCTGCAGAGAGAGAGAGTAATGAGGAAAAGGCACTTAGAGCAATGAGGCCCTGAAACATGGCGGTGACATTATGACTTGCAGCAGAAATGCAAATGACCGTAGCTGCACTATAAACTGCCAAGCTTTTCCATACGTAAGCACAAAGTAAATCAAGCTAAAGAAAGCTCAATGGAATTCAATTAAACCACGTAGTGTCCTTGGGAGGCTGTGAGTCAAAGCAGCTGACAAAATATTATCTGAGGAGTTTTCACACACCTATCTCTGAAATTACATTTATATTGCATGTACTTGCTAGTAAAGTCGTCACATTAATATCACAGGGTAACATTTGTGTGTACGTAGACGAAATCCTGAAAATCCACTTGGGACAGTGGGTGTTTGCGGTTTTACTGTACCAGTACTGATATTTGAGAGCTGAAAATCTTAAATTAACAATATATTATACATTATCAATATGAGTTTCTAACATAAATACACAACATTTAAAAAGTTTAAAACAGGTCTTTAAATTGAGTAAATAATAAGTGTTTTCTGGTGAACTATATAACTAATCTCAATTGATAATATCAGCAGGCCAAATTATTAGTCAAGTTTCCTAACTAAATGGGGCTTCCAATGAAGCTCAGCTTTAAATAGAAAAGAGATTGTACTCTAGCCACGGTGAAGTGGCAGAAAATTACAGAAAAATTACATAAAGATCAAGGTCATTTTTCTATGAAAAATGCCAAATATTTTCAGGTTCAGTTTTCCAAATGCAAGAATTTACTGCTTTTCACTGTGGTTTTTAACTTAAATACAATGGAGTTTTGGACTGTTAGTTGAAAACAAGCAAGCAATTTGAAGATATCACTTAGGGCTGTGGGGGCTGTCACTACTGTTTGACATTTTATAGATCAATAAGAAGTCAAAAAAATAATCAAGCAATTAACCACATTCATGCACTTAAACAGAGTGGTCGGATATATAACTACATACATTTCCTCAAGTACAGTACTTAAGTAAAATTTTGAGGTACTTTACCTGAGTATTTCCATTTTAACCAACTTTATTCCTCTACTCCATACATTTCAGATGGAAATTTTGTACTTTGCACTCCACTACATTTATCTAACAAAAAAGTTACTTTAAATTAATAATATGATAAAAACTACAAAACATCTCAATAGCCAATAAAAAATTAGACATTGTTGTACATTAGCTCCACCAATGAAATAACGCCCTCAAGGGCCATTCTGCTGCATAAGTAGTACTTTTAGGTGTGATACTGTTTCATATTATTGATAATACTTTCTAACTTTTACTTAAGTAAAACTTTTAATGTAGGACTTTTACTTGGAATGCAGTATTTTTAAATTGTTATATTGTTACTTGTACCTAAGAAAATAATCTTAATACTTCTCCCAGCACTGCTTGAACACACACAGACACCTCTGCTCTACACTAATCTGCTTAGTATTGGGTGGTTAGATCAGGGCAGACAAATAGAAAGTGCTCACATTTGCAGCACTGACCACAAGTCGAATCGTCCCATTCAGCAGAGACACTGGCCTACAGCTATTTCATTAGTAACACTAACAGTAAAAGAAGCCGGAACCTAACCCTTTGCGCATAAAGATATTAAACCAGGACTGCGACATTTACTGCATGCATCTGCAAGGAGCGTAGTTTTGGAGCTCCATGCATTTAAAGAAATAAATCTGATCCCATCTTGTCAGTCACATTTCTGAATGACTTCACGGTACTTTCTTATATTTTTGTCTGCTTCTTGTGGTGACATTCGTCCCCCTTAGATCCTGCGTTCTTGTAGACTACCTCTGGTGTTTTATGGAGTGAAAGGATCTATGTTGACAACCAGCCCATCCATTACTGCGTGGACACAGGGGTGGGGATGTCACTTTGCTGGTTCCACCTCAGTTATTTATGGAGCAAACAGGGATTCAATTCTGGTGTACCAGAGAGGACGGACCTTTCAGTGGTGCAGGCCTCCTGGCTGCAGACATTATCAGACTGTACTCATTTACCTGAAAAACACTAGGGAAGGATTTCTTTGTATCATGTATCGTGATTATACTCTAATAACATGCAAGATGTGTAAAACTCCCCCCTTAAATATCTTTTAAATCTAGTCATGGTTACACCAATCAAAAAATGTAAGCCCTGGCACAGATGTGATGACAACACATCCCTGGAAATAGGTTTCAAGCCGCTAAACTAAATCTGCAGGCTGAAGATAAATAGACATGCTGCTTGTAACTGAATTGTTCTTTAATCTACTCCACAGTATACAACAGGACTTAGCAGTTACACGGACAATACATCTCAGTGAGACAACTTGTGCTCTCTTATTAGCCTATCTGTAGATGGCTGGCTGCACACAGCCAATCCCCCCAGATGGAATCACAGTAATTACTCATTGACAGTAAAGACGTGGGGCCTGGTGCAGCAAAAACACAGACACATGCATGCACACTTTAAATCATGGTCTGACTTTGCAAAAAAAAAAGAAGATTGTTTGCTGTTTAACAACTGCAGTTTGGAGGGGAAAAAATGCTTGATTTTGTGAGAGTATCTTTCCACATCACTGGATTCTCCTGCCACTATGTGAAATGGACTATTCTGGCATTTCAGCAGGCAGAGAGACTGTTTGGCTGCAGGTGGAAGGTGGCTGCACAGGGAGGATGTCAATGTAAGATTTATTTAGGAATCAAAAATAATCTTAGGAAACTTGCAACTTATCTTATTTGTATTGCAGCACAAAAATGTTTGTTTATTCAGAATTGTTGTTTTCTTTGCTAAAAGTAATTTATTGATCAGAATTATTCCCATCTCTTGTTTTTCATGTTTTTAAGTTTTTGTTTAAAAATAACATAATGAATGGCTGGTATGTCCACACTTACCTCCTCTGGCACATCACTCTCAGTAGGTGAGTCCTCCTCCTCGTCCTCCTCCTCCTCTTCCTCCTGCTCCTCTCTCTCAGCATCATTGGGAGCCCTGACCGCCGTGTCCTCGGCAGAGTCCAGATCGGAGGAGAGCATGCTGCACTTGTCGCAT